TATCTGTTTTAAAAAAACTGCGGATGAAAATTATAAAATGAATTAAGCTCAGAGGCACTCAACATTTTTACAAGATGAAGAGGTATTTCTATCAGAATCCAAGTGAGCAATTTAAAAATGTGCTTTAACTAGAGCATTTAGAATGGCATTAATTAAAGGGAGTAAAAAATATACAAACAAAAAACTAACAAGCAAATTCCATCTGCCCAATATACTCCATTAATTTTTATTTTTATGTTTTAATCTATAAAAAGGTATGCAGGTTATAAAAGGACTATAGTCTGAGTTATATAGAATTATTGTAGCAAACAAACTGTGAGAAATAATGAGCTACACATGTTTACTGGTGTGGGTATTCCTTAAATTATGTTAGTCGAACATCCTAGATTTTGGTTATGTTTGCTTCAAACAAAAACTTGTTTAAGATTTAAAAAAAAAAAAATCAAGACCTGGCTCCACAATAAGCCATCATAAAAGATATCTGGGAACTTCAACATAGAACTTTTCAAACAACTATACTCATTCTTTTTTGTTTGTTTGTTTGAATAGACAACTACCTTCTCAATAATGGCAGCATATTTTTCTCCAAAAGAGAGAAGATTTACATACATGTATATGCACACAAAGGTTCTTTAATATATGATACCTATTTATATTTCCATTTGCCTACAAACCAGCCATGGAACAAAGAAACCACAGATGTGCCCTTCCAGTCCAGTTCAGGATTACAGAGAGAAGATGAGAAGCGTTTTGTGCGAGTTATTTTGAATCACGACTAGACTATATTTATTGGGGAGGGTACTGGGGGGTGGGGGTCTCAGTTCAATCTCATTCTGTTCTTCACATCCTCACTGAACCTAGGAGAAGGCTAGGTGCACAGGACAAAGTGTTCCATTACTTCTTGTGCATCATGCCTGGTAAAAAAGTCCATGACAGAGAGAATTGCACAGTCATGCAGAGAGCTATTTTTAGGCTGGATGAAACCAATTAGAATGATCAGGGGCCTCTAAATGGCATCCTCTTTATCAAATCAGATACTCCCTCCTCGCTCTTGCCTGACACACAGTCACTCCTCTCCTCGGACTTTCCAAAACAGAAAAGTAAATAAATGCAAGAGTACCTTCTCAGCCCTACTTGTTTTTGCTCAGCTGGCAGTAGAAGTGGACAATCTAAAGTGTAAAAGAGGTACCAGTTTTGAGGAGGAAAGTTGTGGGGTGAGGTGGCAGTTACGGGATGAAAGAGAATCCACAATCCTTGTGCCAAGACACAAGAATCCAAGGGGCAAATTTCAAGCATGGGATGGACATCTAGTCCACATATTAGAACACCTTCTCTTTAAGAGCTGGTTTACAAGTGTCTCTTGGGTTTCACTCAATTCTGTGTGGCAGTCCTTGTCCATCTGGGAACAACGGAACTGAGGAGAAAGGAGGAACTAAAATTTTTCTGCAAAGAAACTCATATTTGCAGAAAGATGTAGATTAAGGCTAAACTGTCTGATTACAGAGATTTTTAACTCTGCTTTTCGTCTAGGAAGAATTAATCAACAATCTGATCTTATATCTGAGGGGGGGCAAATGGTGAAAATGCAGTTTGTCTGTATTTGAGCCATCTAGGGAGCCCTGTTGTGCAAGAGTTAAGCACTCTGCTGTTAACCGAAAGGTTGGTGGTTTGAATCCACCCAGCAGCTCCGCAGGACAAAGACTTGGCAATCTGCTTCCCAAAAGATTACTGCCTAGTAAACCCTATGACAGCAGTTGTACTTGTTACATGGGGTTGCTATGAGTTGAAAACCACCTCAACGGCACTTAACAACAAGGGTAGATGGCTGCCATCTCTAGGTTCTCAACTCCTTTTCCATCCTCCCTAAGTGATGTAAAACAGAATTCTTGAGTACTGACATGTTGAGAAAGAATATGATACCAAGAATAAGATCATGCCTCTGGTTTTCAAACACCAAAATTTCATGTTGCAAGTTGAAACTTACTAGATTTAGCAACATGCCTATTAGATTATCACTGAGTGGAAAAACTGTGGTGGTGGTTCAGTGATATCAAAATACCAGTTGACTGACACGTCTAACCTCTTATTTACTCATGCTGCAGACTGTTTGTAACCAGTATCCACTCCACACAGTCTCACAACAGGGGTGAGACAGAGATGGGTAGTTGGAACAAAACTGGGCAAAAGAGGAGGATGACCAGAAGGATACTGCAAGAAGTCAAGGAATGCAGGAGAAATTCTATCTTACAATCTCCTGTGTAGCTTTTGTTTCGATTCAAAAGAAAAAAGTTATTATTTTTTTCCAAGAATCCTACAGACAACACACGAGACCTCAAAGTTGATTTTTATAAATATTAAAAAAAAAAAGACATTGCCATTGAGTTGATGCCAACTCATAGCAACCCTATAGACAGAGTAGAACTGCTCCATACAGCTTCCAAGGCTGAAATCTTTATGGAAGCAGACTGCCACATCTTACTCCCACTTTATAAATATGCTCCTATATAATTCAGAATTGCTGGCAAATCACTTAAGTTTAAACACAGAATTACCACAAATGGACTGCTAGTTTTTAAGAAATGAGATATGATAAAATACACAGCATTAAAGCTATACTTAGTACATAGCAAAATTAAATTTATTTTGACATAGAGTTCAGTTTAGGACTTGGCAGTTCCTTAATGGAGGTATTCGGGTCTGTAGAAGTAGAAAAAAGAGGTAATGCTTTAAACCTGAACTAAACCTGTGAGGTATGCTGAATTTTTTTTATTAAAGTAAATCACTAATTTGGGTAGTTTGCTTATTATTATGTCTCTGATTCATAAAAGTTGAATGAATAGGCAAAATTTTATTTAGACTTCTGTGGGTTTTTTTTTTTTAGTTATACATGTGTGACGTTATACTGCATAACATGTTTGCAGGATGAAATTATAGCGTATAGATTTCTTAAGCAGTTGCCATAACACTTCAGAATTAAAAGATATGTATTCCAGTAATGGAAAGTTTATAATTTTTGCAAATGCTCCCAGTGATTATGATAATCTCTGAATTTGTAACATCCAGAGAAGTGAGTACACATAGCTATTATCGTTCCATGCACTGCGATTTCTCTCCCTCACTGGTGAACAAAGCCTCTGGTCACCTTCTAGTTCATGTAAAAGCTCAGATAACGCCTGCGGTGACCCATCGGAGAGCATACGCAAATCAGAGCCCTGGCATTTGGGCTACAACTGCACAAATTAGTAAAAATTAGTAATTAACGGTCTGATTGAATAGAAAAGGACTCAAGTGGCCATTCACTTCAGACAGCCCAGCAGGCAACAGCCTTTTATTGTGACAGGTAAAGCTGCCTAATGGAAAATCTAAAATTAAATATGAATAAGACAATTATCAATTAAACTCTACCCATTTTTCTCTCTGATAAGAGAAATAAATCGGTATGTAGAACCAAGCTTTTAACTGAGTTAGAAGAGCAACTTGGAATGAGGGATTTGTCCCTTGCTTGATTCCAGAAGTAAAAAATGTGCCAGAAACATTTCATTTCTTAGAAGTCTTAGCTTAGGAAGGCATGAAAGTTTCTGAGATACTGTTGTAAACAGCCAAGGAAGACTTAGTATGTATAGTATTTTAGTCTTTTTCCCATATCAGCTTTGTTTTAATTTTCTTGTTTATTAGTGATAACTCTGTACAAGGTTGTCACCAAATCTGCCATTGTTAAGCTTTCACAGTACAAACAGTTTTGAGCTTGGGATCCAGGAGGTAGAATCTCTGTCTTTTGTTCTATGATGGGCCCAAATGATAATGTTTCTCAGTTAAAACTGAGCATTTGAGTTTTAAAATAAAGCAAAACAAAAACAAAACTTTAGTATAGAATGCTACGTTCCATCCTTTCGAATATAATAATGTGCACAGCAGGACCTCAATCAGTGTATGTTGAATACACATATCAGTGAACAGATACAACACTGGCATATTAAACCAGCATGTATCATGTCTTTGTATACAATGCTTTTTTCATAGTGCCACGATTAATAAATACCAGACTGGGAAATGCTACATTAGGCAATGTTTTAACCAGGACTTCAAACTATTGCTTTATTTTAACTTTCCAGATGGAGATGTAGTACTATCAACAAGCCCTGAATCACATAAACTCTCACATTTTTCACAATTCCCTTTTCTGCTTGTGTTTTAAATGAATGGACAAGCTCATCACCCAGATTCTGTATGTCTAATGAAGCCGCTCTTGTTTGTCTGCTTTTAAGTTATCACCCAGAGAGGAAGTACAGCTAACGTCAGACAGTGAGGTGGTGACCTTCACCTTCTGGGCAAATCAATATGCTTCATGGCTATCTCAGAGGAAAGTAGTTTTTTACATTCTCCAGAGAAGTCCAGGAGGTAGAGTAGCTAATCTGATTGACCACTAGAGTCTTCCTACACCTAGAACAGTGTCTGGCATGCTATACCAGCTGCTGTAGAGTTGACTCCAACTTATGGCGACCCCATGTGCGTCAGAGTAGAACTGTGCTCCACAAGGTTTTCAATAACTGAATTTTCTGGAAGCAGATCACCAGACATTTCTTCGAAGGTGCCTCTGGCTGGACTCGAACTGCCAACCTTTTGTTATGCAGATGAGTGCTTTAACCTTTGCACCACACAGGGATTGTGGCAAACTATGGGCACTCAATAAATACATGCTGAGTGAGTGAATGGGGGCCCAGAAAAAGGTATGCACTAAGAAAAACATACGAGTTTTTTCACCTGTAAAATTAGAGACATTGGATAAATATTATTAACATCCTTTCTATCTCAAAAGTACTATAATTTTACCACTAATAAGAAAGCATGCTCTGAAAGTTTTGCTGGTATCAAGATATTGAAGAAAACCTCCTACAATTTTTTTTTCTCCTGGCTTTCTTCCTTAAATTAAGTCAGAGAGTTGAAGTAACATCAAACTGTGGTGTGAAGGAGAGGAGTAATACATAGCAGAACCATCATACCTGTTCCTGAAATATTTTGGCCAAGGGGGCACAGTCTGTCAGTTTAATAAACCTGACCACATCAGTCACCGTCCACTCTAATGGGTTGCTCTCCAGAACAAGTCTCTCCTCCTCCTCTTGTTTGATTTCCTACAGAGGGAAAGTAAACAGATCATTTCACTGCTTCACGGTCTGCTCAATCTTTTCTAAAACCCTCTGGGCCTGAGCCAGACTCTCCTGAACCATGAGCTATCTCTTCCCTTTGGTCTCTGATTAAGCATCTTAACAAGCTGCAGGGACTTTCATCCTCTAGGGAATTTCTTTATCAATTTGTCTGGGTTATGACTTAGCCTTCAATGACTTGTGTGCCTTTAGAGGTAGAAAAAAAGACACAGTGATAGCAGTTCTTGAATCCTGAGTTCAAGAAATCTTGGGTCTGCTTATTAGTGAAGCATCTCTGATTAAAAAGAGAAGAGGGATGATAAGGGGCTTATCCAAATATATACATGAGAGAGCCAGTCTCCCCAGTGCCCCCATTTATTTTTGTGATGATAGTGCCAGTTACTTTTCCAGCTGATCACGTACCACCCATGAGTTTAAGGGAGACCTGATACATTGATTAATATTTTATAACAATCCAGAGGTGTTAATCCTATAAAGAAGGGGGGAAGCAAAATACACGGGCAGTGATGGGAGATGCTTAGACGGGATGCTGGAAACCCAGTGTTCAAAGGGACCTTGATGACTTTATCCTGTTAATTCCCTGCACCTAACTTACTCATGACTGGTAAGAATCGCTTGCCATTTTAAAGCTTTCCAGAAAGAGATGTTATTACTTCCCTTAGAACTCCATTCTGACGTTTAATAACCCGCTCTGTCAAGATGTGAAATCACGAAGCCTTTTTGCCCGACTTAGAGCCTAAGCTAGAGCAGCTGCTAGTGTTTTTGATACTTTAAATAAGTTTCCCAAAATCAAAGACCTGAACGCTAATGCTTTTTCTTCTTAAAAATGAGAGATAAACACTGTACTCCCTAAAGTGATCCAGGCAAGTCAGTTCAAGGTATCCTTCTGCGGAGTTTACCTCTGTTCCTTCTTGTTTGGCTGTTGTGCACTTATCTTCCTCCACACAGGAGGGAGTTTGTGCTTTTCTGCCCCTCCGCGTTCTTTCCACCGGAGGGCGTCGCTCTGGCTCTGAGCTGCTCCTCAGGGTGACCGCCCTCCTGGGCCGGGCAGAGGGAACCTCCACGGAGGAGGTGTCTGTCTGGTCATCCCGGAGCTCTGAGCCGGTTTCCTCACTCCCTGTATCATCTTCCATGACATCTGGGTCCTCTTCTTCACTTTCCTAGTAAGACAAGAAATCCGTTTATAGACAGTTAGGCTAAAGAGGACCTTCATAAACAAAATAGGGTGGACTGAAACTATAGTCCGAGTGCTGGGCTTTAATCCCAGCTCCAGCTTTCCTTCCCAGGGTGGTCCTGTGCAAATCACTTGGCACTGTTTGCCCAAGGAGGCCTCTGAAGACCGATTCAATTATCTCAACATAGCACTTTCCTAGCTAAAGTTGCTGGAAATGTTAACTCTGCCTTCAACAAATAAGGAGGAGGACCGATGTCACTAAATAATTTGTGTAGAGTTTGCTGAACGGAACCTAAACTGCTGTGTAAACCCTCACTGAAAACACAATAAAATATTAAAAACAAACAAACACACGAGGAGGAGGGATCTTGCGATTTCCTGTTTCTAACCACTCAGAATCAAGGCTTCCTCTGCAGCCCTCCTGGTAAAGCAGTCACACGTGCCAACTAGAGCTGTAAGTCAAAATCAAATGTTGGAAGGTGCTTTTGAGTAGAACATACCTCCCCTGACCCTGTCGTGAAGTCTACAGTAGAAGATCTCCGTTTCTTCTGCACAAAAATGGATTTTCTTCGTTTCCTACGCCTGGCTGGTTTAGGGTGCACGCTTTCAATGCTGTTTTCACCAATTGGGGGCTTAATGATCTTCTTTCTCTTTCCATAATAATAGGCTATAGGGAAAAGGCTGATTAAAAACTTTGTAAAAGACTAGACACACACACACACACACACACACAAAGACTGAAAGAAAGAGAGAAGAAGAGAGGGACAGGAGATGAGATGGAAAAAGAAAAGGAGAGAGAGAGCATTCTTTCATTTGGGGCCATAAAAAATTGACATCTCATTTATATGTCAGGAAATAATTCTGAGGAAACAGTTGCACAGAGAGAAAACATTTCTCCAATGTCCTCAGGTTTAGATGGTAAAAGAGTTAAACGTGTCCACAGTTCTTATAGGATTTTCTCTCTGTCTCCTTTCCCTGCCCCAAATACGCCCCACTGGAGTGTTCTGACAACTGCTCCTCAAGTCTGAATCTTGAAGAACAGTCAGTAAAGAACAGTCAGTGGCCATCTCTTGGAGTGTCCTTGTCATGAATGATTTCCCCCATCTCTTGATCTGACCGAGACGGAATGGTAACCTTAAATACACAGGACAAATCAATAAAGCACCATTTTTCTTTTCAAATACTGTTCCTTATCTATTACATATTTTATTCTCTTATTAAGTGGAGACTCTAATTACTTATAAATTCTATGCTGTTCTTGCTAGCTGCTGTTGAATTGGTCCCTGACTCATGGTGACCCCCCCGCTCCCTCTAAATTCTATAGCAGGGATATATATCTACATGAATACTTATGGCCCTAATTAGCAAATTTACAAGCTTTCAATAAAAATTAATTTACTTTATAAATTAATTTACTTTATAAATTAAACATATAATCAACTAATTAAAACCACTAAGAATCCAGTATTCAATTACGATCATGATCAAAACAGCTTACTCACTGACCAAAGGCTCAACTCTCCTACTATGTAACTTCCATTATTCCATAAAAGAACCAAATATAGCAAAGAAACCTTATCTATGGATGGAGTGAGCCAAAAGAAAACTGCAAATGAAGACATCCAAGTTTACAGTGGCCTCCCCACCCTTCACAGTGAAGCATGTTTTCAGTATATCCTCACTGCTGTGCCATGAGCTGTGTTATATAGATATGTTACCTAGACTTCTGGACTTCAATTGCCTTGTATGTAAAGTGAGATCACTGGGACTAACTAGTACAGGCTTAGAGGGCGCTGTGGTGGCGAAGTGAGAATTCTCGCCTTCCCATGCAGGAGGTTCGGGTTCGATTCCCAGCCAAGGCACTTCACGTGCAGCCACCACCCATCTGTCAGTGGAGGCTTGCGTGCTGCTGAGATGCTGATTAGGTTTCAGAGGAGCTTCCAGACTAAGGTGGACTAGGAAGAAAGGCCAATCTACTTCCAAAATTCAGCCAGTGAAAACTCTACGGATCACAATGGTCCAATTCACAACCGATCATGCGGATGGTGCAGGACCAGGCAGCATTTTGTTTTGTTGTGCATGGAGGAGTCTCCATGCGTTGGGGGTGGACTTCACAGGAGCTAACAGCAACAGTGCAGGCTTCCTTCAGGACTAAAATTCCCTATCTCCTATTCCTCTCACTTGAATTTGGTTCACAAGGATGGCACTTATAAAAACTGTTGAGAAACCACATCATTGCAGCCCTACAGCTCACAGAAAAGCACACTTGCTGTGGAAAGCATCTGCATGCTCTCATCAACCTCTTGAAGGGGACACTGCACAAGAGCCTGAAATACCATCCCATCTTCGGTCTTCCTGGGACCACATTCCTTGATGAGCACGTGCAAATGACTGCCGCATGAACACTGCTTCCTGGTTATCTCTAGGTACTAAGTACAAATGAATAAGCACTTTTTCATACCCAGAAAACCCAAGTGGGCAGGTCAAGTCTGGTGCAGCCTCATCTTTTTTTTTTTTTTTTTTGAAAAAAAGCAGGACTCTGGAAACCAGAATTGGTTTTACTGAATCCAACTGAAGGTGTGGTACATATTTAGAGCCTTAGAATCAGGCTGGGTGAACGCTGCCGTTACTGTTCTCAATTCTACCTAAACAATGTTTTATCATTCCCCTACTGGTGCTTTAGTTCAGTCTTTAGCAATCTTCCCTGTAACGTGACCCAAAGGATGTTAGGATTTTCAGGTCCAGAAAAATGTTTAAACTCATTTCAATTGTGTTTGAGTTGTAATAACCTGCTGCTCCCCATGTCCTGAAAGTAGAAAGAAGTCCATTTTAAAGCCAAACAGTCAAGGCAAAGTTTAGTGCTCAGTCAACTCCTATTGTATTCAGGAACATCTGTTACTGAGCTGCCTGCTTCAGTGACTGACTCCTTTGGCCATATGTAATGTGGTGTGGAGACAAGTTCTTCAGAAAGCACTGGCCCCTGCTCTCCAAACATGCCTACAGTCTTACATGAGTGAACATGTGTGGATTGAAATGGAACTCAACATGACAGAAAAGGCAGCTGAAGAATAGATTTTTAAAGTCTATATGTATACATATAGACTAAGGTGCACGTGACCCAAGCCATGGTGTTTCCAATCACCTCATATGCATGCAAAAGCTGGACAATGAGTAAGGAAGACCGAAGAACTGACATCTTTGAGTTGTGATGTTGGAGAAGAATATTGAGTATACCATGGACTGCCAAAAGAATGAACAAGTTTGTTTTGGAAGAAGTACAGTCAGAATGCTTCTTAGAAACGAGGATGATGAGACTTCATCTCATATACTCTGGACATGTTATCAGAAGGAATCAGTACCTGGAGAAGGACATCATGCTTGGTAAAGTAGAGGGTCATCGAAAAAGAGGAAGACCCTCAACAAGATAAATTGACACAGTGGCTGTAACAATGGGCTCAAGCATAACAATGATAATGAGGATGGCGCAGGACCAGGCAGTGTTTTGTCCTGCTGTACATAGGGTCACTGTGAGTCGGAACCAACTCGATGGCATCTAACAACAACACATGTATACATATAATAGAAAGAAATCCACACTCTGAAGAGTGTTTCAAGTATATTCAGATTCTTGGTTGTGAAAGACAAGTTGACAAGTCACAGAGCACCTACCACACTGGGTCCTCGTAATATCTTAGTAGTCAGCTTGAAACACTGGCAGACACAGCAAACTGCCAGGTCACTGACTGGGATACAGTCTACCCCTTGGATTAGTTGTAAATGAGGGAAGATGTAGAAAGATCAGAAGTTGAAGACCACAGAGAAGGTTTTCAGGGCTTGATATATATGAGGTGGACGCATCTGGGAGTGGCTAAAGTCGGTGCAGAAAAAGGTCAATAGAGTAGAGGAGGGGCAGGTTTTGGAGAGGCCATCAACAGAAGGCCAAAACAAAATCAAACCACAAAAAGGTAAGCCAGTGGCCATCGAGTCGAGCCGACTTACACTCATGGCAACCCCATGTGTGTCAGAGTAGACATATACTCCATAAGGTTTTCAAGGCTGTGACCTTTCAGAAACAGATCTCGAGGCCTTTCTTCCAAAGTGCCTCTGGGTGAGTTTAAACCACCAATCTTTCAGTTTGTAGCCTAGCACTTAACTGTCTGTGCCACCCAGGGACTCCATCAGCAGAAGGCAGAAGCCACTAAATGTGATGGTGGAGGACAGAAAAGACAAGTGCTAAAGATTGGGAAAGGCCAGAGCAAGAGTAAAATTCAGGTGGTAACAACTCTGAATTCTAAGTCCTAGTGGAGAAGCCAAACAGTCGGGGGCAAAAAAAAGTAATGACTGCTTCTGAATCCTCAATTAGTCCACTAGAGACAGTTTTGAGGAATGTGGTATAAGCAGGAGAGAAGGAGATCAAGTCAAGGCTGTTTCCTCCGGGGTAAAGAAGAGCAATGAAAGAATCATTACAGTTTCTCAGTTTAAGTAATTCTGGTTACTAACCATTACTAATAATTACTTTTATCATGCTCTTCTTTCAGCCATATCGTTTTTTAAATCAATCAATCCACTGGAATTCATGACACTATATACATTTTTATTTGTTCTTTTCGAATCATCCCCATCCCTTCCTTATACCAGGCTAAAAACAAGTATCCACCACAGCAAATTTTAAAGAATTCTTTCATAGAAATTCCTATGAAAAACTATTCAAAAGGATCTGAGGGGGAAAAAAATAAAAAAATAAAAAAAGGCCAAGTACCTCAGTTTAGGTCTATGGACCAATAATTTTTTCATTACATGTACTTACTGTATTTGGTTTTGGTATGAATGGAGCAGTTCTCTGGGCAGTTTTCAGAAACCAGTACAGGACTAAACAAATTTGGACAGCATTCTAGCTTGGCACAAACTCGTCTGCAGAAATCTGCTACTTGGTCAGATGTTCGTACAATCTTGACCACTGCCCTGTAAGTTTTGCCCCTGTACCTAGAAAATAAGGAAGGAAAAACAATGGCAAGACCAAGTTATTATTTAGACTTATTTCATATATTCCAAAAGTAACCACTTTTATTTTCTAACAACAAAGCATATTGTGAGCGATTTCCACGTTATTTGTTTTTATAGTTCCTAATGATCTCACAAAAATATTTTAAGAAATGTTTAATATCATACCTAATATATGTGATAACAATGCTAAAACATAATCCACTGTAATAAAGATTTACACTTAGCATATTCTCGCTGTGTTATACATAATTTAATACCAAATATTAGTAGTATATGGTACCTATCTAATAGGAATGATTCTCAAACTAATGATAATGAAATACAATGTATATTTTCCTGATGCTATACTATTTATTTTTTTGGAAAATATGAGTGCATAAAGTACGATGATTCTGCTTTGGAAACCATGCAAATTCAGAACAATTAAATAAAATCTTTATCAAGACTATATATCATATTGTTGAAATTGGGGCAATTTCTATTATTCATAAATGGCATCTGTGCAGAAAAGTGATAGGAATAACCACCTGGTTGGCAAGGTCACATTTAAAAGGAGAGAAACACAATAGATTTTAAAACGGGGCGGGGGGGGGGACCACAGAAACCAACCAAAAAGCACAGTAGCCCTATGAGTGAGAAACAGGTGGAGTCCTCGTAAGGATTCCCTGCATCGACGAGCTCAGCAGCCAGCGGCTTTGGTGCTCGGGGAACCATAACAGGCCTCAGATGAATTATCAATAGTTAAAGGAAGAGACTTCTGTATTTTTTAAGTATAAAAGGGGCAACATGAAATGATCAACTCCTAAAACATATCTGGCCCTTCAGGGTAGCCACTCCTCTCGATCTCTGGGTTGGGAATGTGAAGAACTGCTCAGTGAAGGACAACTTGGTTCTGGAGAAGATACCTGCACTTTCGGTCTCACCTGCCACACATTTTGGCTTCCTCACTGCAAAGCAGTCTAATCAAGGGGCCTCATTTTCATGTCACAAGGGGAAGGGAGGGACACGGATGGGGACCCCAAGACAGTTTGTCAACACCTCAATGCATCAACAAGGCTGTTTCTCCTTGTGATCATGGCAGCTGTTGCTTCCTGTGAGTTTTCTCCTTTCTTGGTTTATATTTTCTAATGATTCTTTGAGGTCATCCTCGGGTGAGTTTCTCTTTTCTTACGGGGAAAGACTAGTCCAAACAAAGGATATGGAAGTTTTCTCAGTAACTTTTTCAATGCATCACAAAACAAGATCTGGAAATGTGAACATCTTCTATAGTATCCATAATGAACTGATTTTATGGAATGGAAATCCTTAAAAAATATAACCAATATTGCTTACAGAGATGGTTACTTTACTGCCATGAAATTTAAATATTAATTAAACTCTTAAGTCTTCCCTGGGGCCTGATAACAAGAAAAGTCCAATGTTGTTTTCCTTCTTTGAAAAAAGCAAAACTATTTAGTAAAGGAGTCCCTAAGTGGTGTAAACGGTTAACCCAGTCAACTGCTAACCAAAAGGTTGGCAGTTCAAGACCACCTGGAGGTGCCTCAGAAGAAGGTCTAGCGTTCTACTTCCAAAAAATCAGCCATTGAAAACCCATGGAGTACAGTTTTACTCTGGCATGCATAGGATCATCATGAGTCAGAATCGACTTGATGGCAACTGTTTTTTTTTTCCCCTTTAGTGAAAAAATGAAAATTACCCTCATCCCCTAACATGACAAAGAATTTGGAGCGAGAATGCTTCAAGAATCTAGACATTGTCATCTGTTGCTCATCAATTTGACCAAAAAACTTTCTCCTGCCCAAGAAAAGCCACAAGCAATAAAGTCATCAACATAAAACTAGAAACCAGATCTTCTGGAAAGCAAATTGGATGGGTTCTTTGTCTGAAATAGGTATTTAAGTTCTCATCCAAATCTTTATGATAATTACATAAATAATGCCTGCCTGAAAAGATGAACACTTGGAAATAACAGTTTGAATTACCATTCATTTTTTAAACTATCATTGGTACAAAATAATTATAAATCTTTTAGCTGGCAACAGATAATAGATCTTTATTTAGTTCAAAACTCACTAAATTCAGAGTCCATTGAAATTAGAACACATGAAAATAGCTGTGCCTATTAAGCTCTGCCCTTGATGTGTGCCCCCAATTTTTAAGTTGAAATCTTGAAAAACAGGTTTATTTTCCAGAAAAATTGGACATAGTGGTAGCTTTGGCAGATGACACTTGCATTAGTTTCTAGAAAACCAACCAAAATCAGAAGGAATGAACTACTCAGGTAAATTGACATTGTCAATTCATGACGTGAAATCTTTGTCAAACCTGCTTTTTCACAAACGCATTCAAGACTCCATCAGGCCACTATAAAATACAACAAGAACAACAAACATGTTGTACACATATGAGTATAAAATAATGAGACTGTTATTTCTGTAATTTGCAAATAAACCATTAAATTCAAAACTGGTGATGTGGTTCACGAAGAATAATGCGGTGATAGAAATAAACACGGTAACTTCTACTGAGCTTATTTCAACGTTTTTAAAAATATCTCTTTGAAGTCTGGAAAAATATCCTTTTTTTCTCTTAATAACTCATTGTTTAAAATATCAACAGCAAAAGAAAACTAAAATTCTAACTTAAAAAACTACATTTTATGTTTATACACTGGACTTCCATATACCAGCCCTTCTCCACTCTTTTTTTCCTCAATTTCTCTGATGTGCCAACCTTGACTTTCTGCATAGTAAGAACTAAAAAGCAATCCTTTGTAGATAAGATCAAGGTTTAAATCCTATACCCTTGTACAACTGTTGATTTTTCTACGACCTCTATTGACCCTAGATATAGAAGCTTCCGTCTCCTTCCCCGTGAGGAGGGCCTCTATTATTCATTTTTGGGTGGTTCTTGCCTATTGCTTTTTTTGTGTTCCATTATAAAAATGGCCCAACTCTGTGAACACAGTATCTCTCTCATGTTTTGGGACATGTAGAATAAAATATTTTATTAGCACATTTTCCCTTGCAGTTTTATATACTACAGTGTTGGCTCCGTACAGAAGAGCACAGTATCAGGATTCTTTTTTCTTTTTTTTTATTGTTGTAAATCAATTATCAGGATTCTTAAAAGTCCCTTAAAAAATAATAACAAGAGGTAAAAAAAAAAAAAAAAGGAGAAATATGAAAACAAGGCCCAAATTCAAACTATGGAACTAGGGCTCAGATAGATAACCTCCAAATAACAAAGCAGATACGTCCTATGACACATCAGAGGGAAGTATAAAAGGAAAAAAAATACAGGAAAAGGAAAATCTCAAAAATTATGGCTTTTTTTGTGGCTAGTTTGAGATGATTCAGTGGAAACTAGTATTTTAGTGAAATCTTGTAGAATTAGGAGAAGCCAACCTAAATTGATGAAAATAAAAATTACAGTACAGATAAAAACAGAACAAACTTCTTTCCTCTTCCTTGCCCCTTCTGGAAAATTCTAAAACCCATGGCGGTGATGGAGGGGTAGGGGTGGGAGCTGAGCAAGGAAGGTGTACCAGACTGGGGAGAGGTGAGATGCCAGAGCCCAAGCCGGGTAAGAAGGGTACATGCAGGAGGGCATGCAGCACAGGGTGTCGGAGCCTGAGCAGGGTGAAGTGGGGCCACTGGGACTTGCTGCCTGCATCTCCCTTCAGTGAAGGACTTGCTGCCTCAGCTGCTATGAGTATTGTTAGCAGAAAGCCTTCAGCTATCAGTCCCTTTAGTTTGCCTTAGCTGTAAAAAGCTGCCTGTCCCCTACCTTTCCCAGGGACAGCCCTATCCAATAACCCAATGGTCCAACTTGGGACTACCCGGAAGAGCCATTCTAACTCAAGAGCTCCTCACAGACTATAGTTAGGCTCAGTTTCTCCCTCTGCTCCGTCCTGCTTCCTTCCTTTTTCTTCCATAGGTGCCAGTAACAAGGGCTCATCTTAACAAACATCCTGTACATTAAGCCCATCTGGGAGGAATGACACTCATGGCATTAACAGAAGTGATCACACTTAATGCCAGATCATGGTTTCTAAACACCATTTAGTACAAAAATGAACAACAACAAAACTAAGGCTTCTTAGAGGAATGGTGAATTCCAGAACTGGGGCTGGAAAACGACAAGATGAACTGGGAACATCTTGTTGGGTCAGAAAGTGAGAAAGTATCAGAGAATGACGGAAACGTGAAAAGGCCATAAAAGCTAGTTTGATGTAGCTCCCACTGGCCAAATCTGGGATAATCTGAGCATCAAAGTATGTAACGGATTACAATCCACTGAATAAAATAGGAATCTAGAACTCCATTCATTGACATAAATAAATGAAGAATAAACTGCAAGTCTGATGAGGAATGGGATATTTACATACTGTCAAAGTGTCTCCTCACAAACTACTTTTACAGAGGGGAAGTTTGGCAGTTGTCACCTTAGTGAAGTGACCAAAGTTAGCATTACCAGTCATGAGACAAATTGAAAATGTGTGCCATAGGATGTAATGAGAAGAAGGTAACATTTCTTCTGTGATATTCCTGCTGAAGATGCGTAACTTGAATCCAATCATGAAAAACATCAAACAGCAACAAAAGTGAAGTCGTATTTTACATAATCTTCAAAAGTATCAAGGTAATAAAAGTCAAGGAAAGTCTGAGTAGCTGTTTCAGAAGGAGGGAGACTAAAGAGACACAGTAACCAAATGCTTTGTGATTCTGGACTGGACGTGTTTGCCATAAAGGACAATATTGGGATAACTGGTGAAACTTGAGTGGAACCTGAGGATTAGATGGTAATAATGTATCAATGCAGTCCCTGGTTAGTGCAAACGGTTAACACGGTTGGCTGCTAACCAAAAGGCTGGAGGTTAGAGTCCACCAAGACGTGCCTCAGAAGAAGGCCTGGTGATCTACTTCCAAAAATCAGTCACTGAAAATCCTATGGAGCACAGTTCTACTCTGACACAC